CTGACGGAGAGGGGAGCACTCGTGCCAATGATTCCGGGGAGGATGCGCGGCAGATTGCATTCCGTGGGGTATTCCGTACCGTGGAAATGTGAATATCGTATTCATTGGATCTGTAAGGCGGCTCCGGAAAGTAAGACGCGCCGTGCGTTTTGGTGGGGTCATTAAAAAATAATTGCGATTTTAGTCGTGACAATACGGTATCTGGGAGAGTCGCCACTTCTGGACATCTGTGAACGAGAACTTCATAGCTCATCGGATTCCTCCAGTCTAAATAAAGATTCTGATGATAATTACCAACGGGCTACGGAGACATGTCTTGTGGAAGATTACTCCGGGCTATTACAGGCGATAACAAGCTTGTCTTCCGGGAAGGTCATGCATTAACAATGCAGAGCCATCTTCCAGAAGGGGAATATAAGAAAATGAACACACAGATTAAGAATGGTGAGAGAAGTCTTCTGGAAGGTAATTCTGACCAACTAGACTGGGAACACGTCCTCCGGACGACAATGCGTCCTCCGGATTACGGGACGCACGCCCCAACATCGCGGCCATGGCACGACCTGGCGGCGGCATTCCCATCGCTGGTTGCAGTGGTTCATGGCTCGTGGTTTGTGGTGCACGGTCTACGGTTCGTGGTTTGTCCGTGGTTTGTCCGTGGTTCACACTTCGTGGTTCATGATTCGTGGTTTGTCCATGGTTCGCGGTACACAGTTCATAGTTCATAGTACGTGGTTCGCGGTTCGTGGTTCAAGGTTTGCAGTTCATGGTTCTTCATGGTTCATAGTTCTTCATGGTTCATGGTTCTTCATGGTTCTTCATGGTTCATAGTTCTTCATGGTTCATGGTTCATGGTTCTTCATGGTTTGAGGTTCGTGGTTCGCGGTTCATGGTTCTTGATGGTTCATAGTTCTTCATGGTTCATGGTTCTTCATGGTTCATGGTTCTTCATGGTTTGAGGTTCGCGGTTCATGGTTCTTGATGGTTCATAGTTCTTCATGGTTCAAGGTTCGTGGTTCATGGTTCTTCATGGTTCATGGTTTGCGGTTCATGGTTCATGGTTCTTCACGGTTCGTAGGTCATGGTTCGCAGTTTATGGTTCTTCATGGTTCTTCATGGTTCATGGTTCTTCACGGTTCATGGTTCTTCATGGTTCATGGTTCTTCATGGTTCATGGTTCTTCATGGTTCATGGTTCGTGGTTCATGGTTCATGGTTCGCAGTTCATGGTTCTTCATGGTTCATGGTTCTTCATGGTTCATAGTTCATGGTTCATGGTTCTTCATGGTTCATGGTTCATGGTTCGCAGTTCATGGTTCTTCATGGTTCATCATGGTTCATGGTTCATGGTCCTTCATGGTTCATGTTTCTTCATGGTTCATGGTTCATGGTTCTACATGGTTCATGGTTCATGATTCTTCACGGTTCATGGTTCATGGTCCTTCATGGTTCATGGTTCTTCATGGTTCATGGTTCTTCACGGTTCATGGTTCATGATTCTTCATGGTTCATGGTCCTTCATGGTTATTCATGGTTCTTCATGGTTCATGGTTCTTCATGGTTCATGGTCCTTCATGATTCATGGTTCTTCACGGTTCATGATTCATGGTTCTTCATGGTTCATGGTTCTTCACGGTTCATGGTTCATGGTTCTTCATGGTTCATGGTTCATGGTCCTTCATGGTTCTTCATGGTCCTTCATGGTTCATGGTCCTTCATGGTTCATGGTTCTTCATGGTTCATGGTTCATGGTCCTTCATGGTTCATGGTTCTTCTTGGTTCATGGTTCTTCATGGTTCATGGTTCATGGTCCTTCATGGTTCATGGTCCTTCATGGTTCATGGTTCTTCATGGTTCATGGTTCATGGTTCTTCATGGTTCATGGTTCTTCATGGTTCATGGTTCATTGTCCTTCATGGTTCATGGTCCTTCATGGTTCATGGTTCTTCATGGTTCATGGTCCTTCATGGTTCATGGTCCTTCATGGTTCATGGTCCTTCATGGTTCATGGTTCTTCATGGTTCATGGTTCATCATGGTTCATGGTTCTTCATGGTTCATGGTCCTTCATGGTTCATGGTCCTTCATGGTTCATGGTTCTTCATGGTTCATGGTTCATGGTTCTTCATGGTTCATGCTTCATGGTTCTTCATGGTTCATGGTTCATGGTCCTTCATGGTTCATGCTTCTTCATGGTTCATGGTTCATGATTCTTCATGGTCCATGGTTTTTCATGCTTCATTGTTCCTAGTTCGTGGTTCATGGTTGGCTGTTTCCAGTTCACAGTTTGATTCCAGCGGGCTGCCCATATCGACCACCAATTGCGTGCCGTGCACTCCGCGTCATTCGGGACGAGAAGGCCGTAAAAAAAATTGCCGCGAATTACTAACCCTGTGATTATACACACAGCAAGATCGCTCCCCTCTAGTGAAACATCAGTTGTCTAGGGTCCGTGAAACCCCACCGCCTTGCTTCGCGATATCCTTGCCGATATAAGGCACGAATTCCAAATGTACTAAATTGCTGTTGATATTAAACATTATACTAACGGTACAAATGGAGAGTCTGCTGCATATCCGCAAACCCATCCCCACAACTGCAGCAACAGATTTTATTTTCACACGTTTTGATTTTTTCCGTGAATTTCTTTAAAAGCGCCCGGGTGCCGATTGCACAGAAGCGACTGCATGCTGTTTGTCACAAAGCCTCTGCATGGAGGGAGAGAGAGAAATCAAAAGAGCTGCAAGAAATGTAACCCATCAAGTTACATTCTTCTCCCGTGCGGAGGAATTCTCACTGATGTCCTAATTCCATGGTGGGCCTTTGATGAAGCACGTTGATCAAAATAATTAAGTGGTATTTGTATTTTACTTTCTTATTTTGGCTCAAAACTTTTCATCTAGCGGCTTCTTGAATGACCAGAGGTGACGGCGTTTATGAACGAAAACAACTGTTACGTTTTGGTTGTGCAGCAAATCGATTTTAGGTTACGTAAATTGCTCTTAATTCAGTAGACAAAGATCCCCCGTATCGCCTTAACATACTGCTGGGGCAAGTGCTGTTAGTGAGCAACATTGAAGGCCGGCAAGGCACATGAAGGGGTGGGTGGCCAGCACCATGCCCGGCCACCTTTGCCTCCCCAGTCGCGATGTTTACAAACCACACCAGGTACTCATTTGAGGCTGAGTCGACCTAGGGGAGGCCCAGAACCGGTTCAGAGTGTTGGCCATGAGCGGGAATCGCACTCGGGTCATTAGGTTCGTAGCACAGTGTGTTAACCGCTATCCTGCCGGTACCAACACACACACACAAACACGCAGGTCTGATAACACAGCAAGATCCGTTATAAATAAAAACATAATTTTGAGAGCTCCGTCATCAACTGCTGATTGAATGCCTCCCCATTGCATGTTGGTCTCGGGGGATGTTTGACCATACGTCACTGTGCTTGTAAGTGCAGGCAGTGATCCAGCACCGTACTGGTTCAGATATCACTCGCCACTCATGTTAGCCGTGGCCAGCCATCAAATTCAGGAATAAGAGTTTGTCGTGCAGCTCAGAGTGCAGCCGGCTAACCACTGCGCCACCATTCCCCACCCTGAATAAAATATTCATTTTCGTTCAAAGCATTTGTAATCCAGCGGCATCAACGACTTCAGGTAACGATGTTTATTATTATTAACATTATTATCGCCGCATTTCGGCCAAGCAGGATATCGATTGGAGGCTACAGAGCTGTCTCGCTTTGGTGAACCATGCACAGCTGATTGCGTGAAAAAATACAATGATTTCCCTTGTTATTATATTTTATTCAATTAACGTACACACATTCCACTTCACGTGACCGATCTTCACAATGTACTAAATCAATCACAAAACATAAAAGGATAATAATCGATAGATTAGAATGATGAATTAGTTGCTTTAAAAACGAAACAGCTTTTTACTTTTCTCTCTCTCCAAGATTAAATGGAAATAAGACCATCAAAAAGTAGCGGCCGCTTGGGCAGGGCAGGTTCGCGAGATGGAATGACGACCGGCAAGGTTAGCGGATAACAATGGGGTGCGCGTCCCAAGAGCACGCCTACTGTGGAGATGGAATGATGAATGTCAGCTCGTGCGCAGGTGGAACGTTGCCATCACAGGAGCGCCAGCGATGGCGACGGCTCGTTGGACGCCTTCATCCGACGACGGTAGCAGCGCTCGGTGAGATTTTTTGAGCAAACGGCAACAAGCACTGTGCCAAAAGTGATCTTTTTCTCATTACGCTCAAGCCGTACGTTACTCCAAGTGCGGTCAATATTTGCAGATGGTCGGGCATGTCGCACAGGGGGTTCATTGAACAAAGCCCGCGGCATCACATTGTGCCTGCAGCTGGGCCTACAACAGGGGCATATGCTGCTTAATGAATTAAGGACGGAGCTACCGAAATGTCTGAATGAGTCATCATCGTCGTCGTCATCAGTAGGAGCCATGATCAATCCACTGCTGGATGAAGCCGCCACCGCCCCCCCCCCCCTCCGCCACTCGCCCCTACACCCAACCTGGCGCCATCTCTCACGTGTGCAGGTGTCGGATAATCCAATCCGACACTTGCACACGAGCCGATTATTGCCTTGTTTCTACCGTTATTGTCCAAATGCAAAAAAAAAGTTTTGGTGGAACGGTGGAGGTGAGAGTTTGATTCCTGGCTACTGCCAACATGAGTGCTGTGGGATATCCGTCTTACCTGTCCTGGGGTCCCCCCCCCACCCTCTTCACCATCCAGGACAGTCCTGCACATGAGCTGATCTAGTCGCTCCATCTCCGTGGTGAAAGTTTTATTTACAATGAGCACGGTTTTAAGTAAACAACCATTCCTTGGGTTGGCCATGCCCACGACTCTCACCTCTTTTAGCCAACATCTATTCCGGCATCAGGATAATGAAATGGGATCGCCGTTGGGGGGTGGGGGGTGGGCGGTGGTGGGTGGTAGTGGGAGGGTGAATCATTAGACACCCACCTCGTAAGGAGTGAGAAGCGGCTTGCAGAACGCAGTCCCCCAGTCGATGGATAATCTGGGGCAGGCAATCTGCACCCACCTACGGAGACACAATCAGATCCCTCGTCAGTCCGCGCTCACACGCAGGCCCACCGCCGGCAACGCGACAAGAACAACAGCAGCAGCACCACCAGGAGTGTCGCCAAAACCACTACCACAACCAGCACTACCCGCCATCACCACAACCAGTGCCGCCATTACTGCCACCAACAGCACCGTTACCACTACAAGCACTACCACCAGCACCACCACCAAAAACTGCACCACCACCATCACCGCCAACACCGCCAACACCACTACCACAACCAGGACTGCCCGCCATCACCACAACCAGCACCGCCACCACTGCCACCAACAGCACCGTTACCACTACAAGCACTACCACCAGCACCACCGCCATCAACAGCACCACCACCGGCACCGCCAGCACCACTACCACCACCAGCACTTTTACCACTACCACCACCACTACTGTTACCAGCACCACCACCATCAGCACCATCAGCACCACCGCCACCTACACATGCTATCACACACATGCCGAGTGCAGCGGTGCAAGACACAAACGGGCAAATAACAAACGATGCAGCCAAGAGCTTTACATTATTTGGATTCCGCCTGTTTACCCAGGAAAGCCTCGCCGATTCTCAAGGCTCTTTTTCGGGAGGGTCCTGCCAGGTTTTCACAGTAGGCGGCCGATGTTGCTATGCGTACAGTGATCCAAATCGAGTGATTTTCAAGTAATTTTGCAACCTTTGGGAAGTTTTGGTCAATACTATTAAGTACAAACGCCACACGGACAGGTGCCTGAGTCAGGAATCGAACCCAGGGGCCTTGTTGCTGTGAGGTGCACCACCGCGTCTCGCATATAACATTAACAATGGGTATGAATTAAAGGGGAGCTGCTGTCGCCGTTTTTTTTTCTGTTGCAATGAATTAAAGACCCAGAGAGATCCTTGTCACAAATCAATGTGCCTGGCGATGCTTATCGCTGACGCTTATCGCTGCGACGTGCACCTCGGAAGCACAGGAACAAAATCGAGCGGTAAAACTCCTCTTGAACATGGACCTTTAGCCAATCCAATGCTGGATGAGGGCTCCCCCCAGTCTGCCGCCACCACCCCCCCCCCCCTGCCATCCACCCATGCCGTGCGGTTCCTAGGCCGCCGTTATCTGATCATACTTCAAACAGCTGGTCAGTGCTGACTGGTTAACACGTGGAGCATATAGACATTGGGGTAGCGTATAGCATTGGGCTAACATATAAACATTGGGGTGGAGCACATAAGTACACCACAGCTATGCATTCTGCTGCACCCATAAACTCTGATGCCCAGAGCATAGCCCCACAGCCTACGAATGTACAGGTTATGTTGAACTTCTTTCGCACCGCATCGGAGGTGAGGAGGCGGGGGGGAAGGACAACAAAGCATGTACTTGTATGTATGTTTAATTTCTTTCGCACAGTACGTAGCCAAACGTGCTAATAGGAGGCACGGGGGTGGTGGGGGGGGGACAGCAATGCAACATGCTTCCAAGGTGGAGAGGGGCCTCATCCGGCAGTGTGTCGACAAAACAGCGTGGGCCGCACACGTGTACATAACTTGCGCATTAATATAAATACATGGGAACTATTTTTTTCTATCAATATTAATACACGTGCATATTAATACACGGGAATGATTGTTTTTTTAGTTAACATTAATACACGGGAGCTATTTTTATTTATTTATATTAATACACGTGCATATTAATACACGGGAAACTATATTTTTTTATTAATATTAATACACGTGCATATTAATACACGGGTTCTATTTTTTCTATTAACAATAATACACGGGAACGATATTTTTTATTAATATTAATACACGTGCATATGAATACACGGGAAACTATTTTTTTCATTAACATTAATACACGTGCATGTTAATACACGGGAATTATTTTTTGCTTAAATAATATTAGCACACATTAACTATTTTTAGTAAAATTAATATTAATACACGTGCATATTAATACACGGGAAACTATATATTTTTTTAATCAATATTAATACACGTGCATATTAATACACGGGATAATTTTTTTAATTTAAATAATATTTTTTTTAGCACAATTAATATTAACACACGTGCATATTAATACACGGGAACAACTTTTGTTTTTTAATTGCCGCTAGTGAAAACGACGAGGGGCGGTGTTGATGAAATGTCTCTGCGACCGGACGGGGCAGCGACTAGGCAACGCCTGCGTGGTTTTCACTCTCGGAGAGACGCCTACCGTGGCGTGGGTGCGTGCGTGGTGAGTGTGGTGCTTCGCGCCCTCCCCTACCACCCCCTTGTGATATCAGCACAGTGCACTGATTAAAATATGTTTTAACGCTCTGCCCCAAAATGGTTCGATCAAACTCTATGGCAACGGTCTGGGTAATGATGCAGCGGTGGGGGCTTGGTTTCGGGGATGGGGAGGGGTGGGGAGGGTTCATCGATTAATTTGTATATTTATATGCTCTCTCCATTCGTTTCTTTCTTTTAAAAAGGTTGCAATCAAAAAGGTAAAAAAACAACAACTAACTATTACAGGCTTGGCTGATATTTCACAACAAACAAACGTTTTTTCTATATATATATTACGTACAGCGCTCCTTACCCTGTGAGAAAAAAAACAAACATTGCTAGTTTACTTTTTAAGAAGAAAAATAAAACAGTTGAAAAGGGTCAATTTGATTGGCACTCTGACAAGAGTCTGCAGGACAGATTCAACGATGCGGTGAGTCGTCGTCCGAAAAGCTCGCCGCTGAAGCTGGCGTTGCACGTGCGACGACGGTCACTCGACGTTTTTCGGCACCGCGCCAAAACGTCGGCCAAATCGAATCGCGGCATCGAACCGACCGCGACGCTTCGGCGTGTGAGCCAGGTGGGCGTGTGGATCGTTCCACCGCTGAGGATGAGACCATCTTGATACCGGCAAAAACAAAAAAAAGAGTCCCATAGATATAACCGCTCAAACTCGAGCAAATTTATGATTTTAAATTTGCATTGTACTTGTGCCGTTTGCCTTTTGCCGTTATTGTCTGGTCCAACACCGGTGGCGAGACAAGGCCATAATGGAGGCTGTCCCTAGTGTCGGACAATTAGATTCAAGGACAATGCATACATTATCAAGTCATTTTGCCTCGTTTAACCACAAGAATGTGCGTGGTTAACGCAGACTTTATGGCTTGTGATGGGGTGTCTATTTGGCGTTTGAACATGTGAACACCTGTATTCTTGCCGGAGAGGGTAAAATCCTTTTCTTTTTGCCATCAAGTATGAGGCCAGTTGAACGAAGCGCGGTGGGATTACCAACATAAAATTAAAAGAGACTGGACCCGTATCCTGGTCGGGGCTTCGCTCAGCCCATCATCATTCCTCCGGTTATAAAATAACTACCGCCCCGTCTGGTGCAAGTCAACGGTCATTTGTCTTTTGTAAATATTAAACATGCTTGTAGTGAATTTTCACAACAGGCACAGGGCGCTCAACAAGGAGACGAGCAGGAAACCACATCTGACCTCATAACGTTCTTATTACGACTAATTTCAATTAACCTGCTAACCATTACACCTATCGCCATGAATAAAGGTGCATTTAAAACCGAATTTCCGATTCGCGCGATTGGCTACGTCCGGTGCAAAAGAAGTTGAACATAGTACAAAACATGTCGCACTTACACTATTTTTGGCAACAAATTGGATTTTTTTTGTGTGTGACGCTCTAAAGTTGAGAATCGTGACCACGGCCTCCGGTTGAGGATGAGAGAGCACCCGCAAAACTCTTTAAGGGTTATCTTGCCATCTCAGTGAGAAGGAGCACACAAGGGCAGCGCTAATAGATCTGCCTGCCTGCCTGCCTTGACTTGCCTGCCGAGCGCGATGGGATTGGGGAAGCTACAGCAGTCTGGCTCCAACAAGCAGAGCGCCACTGTCAAGTGATGCACTTCATCATCCCACATCCGCCAAAACCCTTTTACCGTGGCTCAACCGTTATTACTTTACGGCACAACACGGCCAACACCGCCGCACTCGCTCTCTCACAGTTCAAAGGTCACACGCGATCCTGGGGATGCTTCCATCGCGGCAGCCAGGGCCCGTGGGAGGCCCGATGCCCCCCCCCCCCCGCACTCTCACCGCCCGACTGCCCCACCTCTCACCAGATCACTTAGATGCTCCTCTGCATAATGGCGAGCGTGCGCATGAATTTTTCAGACAAACAGCGTAGCGACTGGAAGGTGCCGCTTCGCTGTCGGAAGGTTGTAAGTCAGGGGTCGTGCTCGTTCCATCGCTCCCCACCAGAGTCAATAAACCTGGCACCATTTCGATTTAAAGCTTTCGTGACTGCAGGGATTCATATTCTTGGTTCTTTCGGTAAAGTCACGTAGAAGGGAAATAATAAAATAATAAAAATATAAAACAATGAAATTCTCACCACATTTCGATCGCAACACATGCAATCATCATCAGGCCGTGAGAATTAAATTGTTTTATTTTTATTATTTCCCTTCTACGTGACTTTACCGGAAGAACCAAGAATATGAACCTGGCACCACTTCGTGGAGAAGTCTAAGGAGGCTATTCGATGGAAATACTCTCCTCTGCCACAGGGAATGTGAATTTTCACCCAACGACTCAGTCCTCTAAACAGGAGACCATTGCCATCCCTTGCCTATTTGAACGATAAACAACTGAGACCTTTTTCGCTTTTAATTAACCCAATTTTAAACGTTTCCTAACTTGTCTTTGTAATTTGTTCGTTTTTCAAGATGAGTGTCCTCTTTTGACGTACACACCAGTGAGTCCCGTTGCCACGAAACGTCGCGCATCACACAGTTTCCTCTTCGTATGTACGTATGTTAAACTTCTTTCGCACCGTACGTAGCCAACCGTGCTCATCAGCGGTGCGGGGAAAGGACAACAACCTTAACGTCAAACGCAGTTCTGAAGAAATTGGTTTTCAATCCAGATTTAAAAGTGCACAGCTCCAGTGGATTCCTCATATCGGAAGGAAGAGTGTCCTAGACGGCCACAAAAGAGCATCTGAAAGCCCGCAATGCGGTGACCGTCTTTTGTTCGACGGGTAAGACGAAAAAAAAAACCGCCGCTGCTGCGAGGATGACTGGATTTCGCGTGGTTGATGCTTGACGCTCCTTGGCGAGATCAGCAAGGTATCGTGGTTCATTTGAGGGGCCGTGGTGCCGTCGACAAAGCGTCGGGTTCTCGTTCGACGAACGTGCCGAGCGGAGCGTACGACACGGAGCGACGCGGCGTGGTGCGGTGCAGTCTTACGCGTCCACGTCCTGGAAGAGGCGCAGCTTGCAGGGGAAGATTTCCGAGAGGAGGAGCCGCACACACTTCCGTCCGGCTCTCTGCAGGCTGTCCTCCACGTGCTGCGCGACATCAACGATGGGCAACAGAGCGACGCAGGCGTCACACAGCGGGCTGCCGAACGTTATTATTCTAAGGCTCTGTTTTAAAAGGCTTGGCATTTTGGGGACACCACCACACTAACCCACCGGCCCCTGAACACAGCTATCTGATGTGTTTTTGGGGTTGTACTGCATTTTGTTCGGCTTTCACGTTATTCAGGCTCTCACCTGGTTCAGCCTCTCACCTGGTTTAGGCTCTCACCTGGTTCTGGCTCTCACCTGGTTCAGGCTCTCACCTGGTTCAGGCTCTCACCTGGTTCAGGCTCTCACCTGGTTCAGGCTCTCACCTGGTTCAGCCTCTCACCTGGTTCAGGCTCTCACCTGGTTCAGGCTCTCACCTGGTTCAGGCTCTCACCTGGTTCAGCCTCTCACCTGGTTCAAGCTCTCACCTGGTTCAGGCTCTCACCTGGTTCAGGCTCTCAACTGGTTCAGGCTCTCACCAGGTTCAGGCTCTCACCAGGTTCAGGCTCTCACCTGGTTCAAGCTCTCACCTGGTTCAGGCTCTCACCTGATTCAGTCTCTCACCTGGTTCAGGCTCTCACCTGGTTCAGTCTCTCACCTGGTTCAGCCTCTCACCTGGTTCAGGCTCTCACCTGGTTCAGGCTCTCACCTGGTTCAGGCTCTCAACTAGTTCAAGGTCTCACCAGGTTCAGACTGGCGTATGTATTCGGGCTCTCACCTGGTTCAGGCTCTCACCTGGTTCAGGCTCTCACCAGGTTCAGACTGGCGTATGTATTCAGGCTCTCACCAGGTTCAGACTGGCGTATGTATTCGGGCTCTCGCTCCGCGCTTTCGGAGTTCTCGATGGAACATCGTGTCCAATTTGCGAAATATGCACGCATTATGAATTGTGCTAATTATTATAACAACCCAAAAAACATATCATCGGAAAACTGTACAGGCCATCCTGGGGAGGAAGAAAAAAACCCTACGCATCGGTACGTATTTGACACGCTCAAGGACGAGGTTTACCGTGCGATTCGTCACCCACACCGCGGTAGAAATTCAATACCAATAGCGAGACTCGAACGCTGGGCATTGGCGAACGTCGTGGAAGCAAGGAGCGTTAACCACTGCCAAGCGAAGGTTCGCCGAGCGGCAATCCTGGATGTTGCGTGCCGCTGCTCACGAACTAATGAATGAAACGACTTAATTACAGTGACATGAGATGTAACTGGGTGGAGTGGTTAGGGCACTGCACTGTGAAAATGGTGATCTGCGTTTGATTTGCGGCCACGGGTTAACATTGGTGGCACGTGATATCCGAACTGGTCGTGGGCTTTTTCCCCTTCACGAAATCCGAACTGACGGGCACTTCCGATTAGCACGGTTGGCTACGTACGGTGGGACAGAAGTTGAACGTACATACATACGTACATGTTTAAAAGTGACCAAAAACCCTCACGACACACAGAGCATTGGAGTCACATTCGTCCAGCAGTGGATCGACAGTAGGCAATAAGAGAGAGGCAACTACGGCACACGGTCAGACTTAGGGTGTAACGACTGGGCAGGCTATCCCAAAGATCATAATTGACCGAGGCGAGTAACGGCTAAGTAATTTTGACTTTTCAGCACTTAATGTAGTGTTTCAATATGTTTTCTCTCTGCTGCTCAAACACAAACAGTTCAAGGTGGAGGAATGGGTAGGGGGAGGGAGTCAAAAGTTTACAAATACCGAAGGTGAAATAAATTAATTCTGTTCATAACAAAAAAAAATCAACAAGGTCAATAAAAAGCACACACGTGAACTAATCAAATGCGCACAAGCATACGCTGCTGGACAATGAACGCGAACGTGGCTTTGGAGGATAATAAACACTTTCGCGTAAGGTGGGCCACACGCAGTCGTTCAGAAAACAACGAGAAATTCAAACGCGCCACTAGGCGGGCTGGCGAGGATGCATGCATGGGGGAAGGACAGCGGCGGGGGGGGCACGGGGCATCTGAAATCGTTTCGACCACCTCGCTCGGTACACAGGAGGTTGCGCGGGTTCGACTCCGACCCTGGTGCCCGTCGTATATTTAGAGTTTGCATTTCCTCCCAGTCCGCCGTGGTCGCGTGGATTTTTCTCCGGCTGTTCAGGTGTTTTCCCTCAGCATTTAGAATCAAGCGTGCGCTTAAGAGTATTTGGCTGCTACGAATGTCCACGTGATAAGCCACTTCGTTCAGTAACCATTTGTGGCCAGGTCGCTTCTGAAAACGAGCTTCCCAGCTCAGCGGGCCTTACCTGGTAAAAAGGGGAGGGGGGATGAAGGTGATTATTAATTATTATTTTAAATATCATCACATTTAAAAATAAAACACACCCTGACGCTCGTCCGTTGCCTTATTCGGACACGTCATTATTAAACCGGGGGGGGGGGGAGAATTGAGAGATGTTCATGAGCCGAGATAAAACTGAATGGTCTTTCCCGAGGCCGGCTCTCTCTCTCTCTCTCTGTTGTGCAGCCGTTCCACAGGAGTGCAGAAGGACAGCAGTGCGTAGGTATTCATTATCACTCTGCAGCGCTCTGGGCGGTGAGAGGGGGGGGGGGGCACACCAAACGGTACTTTTAAGGCAGCCGATCGGCTCCACGTAATTTGCACGGGGTTCATATTCTCGCCACGCTTTACATACGCCTAAACCGTCGACGCTTTGATATCTTCACCGTCAAATTGCTTCTGATATACACCGTCCATCGTTGTTCGTCTACGTACGTATGCACACTGAAATTCCTTCGCGCCGCGCGTAGCCAACCGTGCTAATCGGAGGTGCGGGAACGTGTCAATGCCGCGGTCAACCACTGTTCAACGCGACTCTCGCTTAGCTTCGTCGTCTGTGCCGTTATCAACCAATCGCCCCGAACGGCTTCCCGCTGCGGGGGAATTTAAAGTTCAGCTCTGATTTGACGTTGGTTTGACGCTCAATTGACGATGATTTATCCTCTGAAATATTTTCGATTCGCCGCGTGATTGCTTTTGCGCCAATTGCTATTCACCTTCATTGCTTCGCTCTGTTTTAGTTCGTTTTTGCTTTGAGTCATTTCGTTGGAACACAGGTTCGCGCTCTCGCATACGAGACCTTTCTCCTGGGTCTTTTGAGTTCTCATCCTGGTAAGAATGTAATATAAGCTTGATGTACATTTCACTGCACTGCCCAGCTCATTCATCAAGGTGGCCGTCACGGGGCATCGTTAAATGCTTCACGCTGACCTCTGCGGTGTAAAGTTCTAATGCGGTTCAAGCTAGCGAAGAAGGAAAGGAGAGAAAAAAAGTAATCATAATAATCTGGCTCTCTCTCTCTCTCTGTTCTCGCTTTCATTTGTCACCAATAACAAAAAAAATTCTAGGCGGTATCTTGCGAGGAGACGCAAGCACCGGCAGAGAGAGAGGAAGAAGAGAGAGGGAGAGAGGTGGGCGGGGGAGGGAGGGGAAAGACGCTCCCCGCTCCCCCACCCCCCGCAAGCACCTCTTTCATCTAACACTGCCGGCAGGTGACAGCCCAACAGGCTGCAGGCTCCCCAGGGCACTCCGTAAAGAATGAGAGGATGAAAGTCTCCAGCAAGCGCGCCGAAAAGGAACGGCATAATTACCAGTCGCGGCGCAGCACCCACCGGCCAGGGCTCTCCAGTACAGCCGACCTCCGCGAGCTTCATAATAAAAAAAATAAAAAAAATTGGGTGGGGGGAGGTGGGGGGCTCTCACAGTAACAGAAATTAAACTGAGAACCGGCTTTCATCTCCAATCGCTCAGACGACAAAGCGGCTTCTGTCCCCCTACCCCCCCCCCCCCCGTTTTTTCTTCCTTTCTGCAATTCCATTTTTGTGAGCCAACGCGCTTGCCGCTCGCGCTGACAATCGCGAGAAAACGGCCAACATCGCAGATGCCGCCGCCGCCGCCACATCGGCTCCCCAATTATTTTGCGCGAGAAAGGGAAGAGGGGCCCAGAGGTTGTGGTTATCGCACGGTGACCTTGAGAAGTCTGACACACTGTCCACCCCAAGGTTAGTTGGGCCCCCTGCGGATGGGTTCTCCGTCTGACCTCGCATCACCATCATCATCATCATCCGTGGAGTGCGTTCTTCCAAACATTGGAGACATCAGCATTCTGGGCAGAAGACATTTTAACTGATGAAGCAGCTTGTGCAAAACCGCCCCCCCCCCCCAATATTCATGAGATTGCAATTCCAAACGAATACGAATATAATACATTACCGACAGGTACATCTTGAGTTGAGAACAATTAATTAAGGAGAAATTTAACAGCTTTTTTGTTATTTACCCCCCCACCATTCCTGCCAGTAAGAGACGCATGATTTTTGACACTGCTTGTGAAGTTAATATTTCACAAGAACTGGGGAACTCTATGTCCTATTCCGTCACATGTCCTCAAATTGTTAATTTAAACAAAACACAGAGGGTGCCTGGACCGGCACCCACTGCGGGTTTCGAGTAAGTGATTTGATGGTCTCAGCCGGGTCACCGGTGACCATAGGGGAGGTGGGAGGGGGCGGTAAAAAACTACGACGTTAAATTATTATTTTCACTTAATTTGGTAAATCCCAGCTCTGGGAATTGAAAAAAAAACAATTAAGTTTTGACTTCCACGCGATGAACATGTAACTGCAGGTGGGCACATGGGAAAGAGGTCGCTTGTATGGATCTCAGAAGTAGTTCTGTGACGTATCCTGCCGCGGGCCGTTTCTTTAACAAGTGGTGGTGCCGCTGCTGCAATGCGATGCACCACAATGATCCCGAAGAGACGCTCCCCTTCTCAGAAACGACGTGACCGGTGACGGCACAACTGCAATCAAATTGGGAACGAGATAAGGAAAACAAACTAAAAATAACACAAAAAATAACGAGTGCGGAGAAGGGGCATAAGTCGGTCGTTATTTTCAGGGCCGCTGCCGCGGTGTAATCTCGTTACCGCGCTTGGAATCGCAATCCAGAGGTTTCCGGTTTGGCCCGATCTCCCGGTGTGGCGGTTAGACAACTAGATATAGATTTTATTTATTTTAGCAGGAAGGACCCAATGAGCTGTTAGGCTGTATTTCATAGGCGCCCCTGCAGTTGATAACAACGATGGAAGCTTCTTAAAGCTTCTCTGCCCTGCTTCCAGCCGCCCCCCCCACCCCCAATCTCCCCACTGCCTCTATCCATCCAGCAGTTGCTGACCTGCCCCTCCTGGACATCTATAAGAGCTTCATAGCTCATCGGATTCCTTATCCAGTCCAAATAAAGATTCTGATTCCGAGCATAAATGGGTTCACACTGCAGTCAGTCGATCGGCAGGATGCATGTGGTGTCTGAGCGGGGCGGGGGGCACTCTCACCTCTTCCAACACTTGTCACCGGCATGCAAGAGCAGGCCCAAAATACTCTGCATTGGAGACTCTTCCACCAGCAGCGGAGTGAGCAACGCTATTGCAAGGGCTGCACCTTTACCTATTATTATAATTGAGACCGCGCCTCGACCCGTGTGACCCCGCACACTCCACGCACGGAAGCGCCCCTCCCCGCCCCTCCCCAATGCCGTTGTCACATCTGTTCCTCCTAAGCCCCACTCACTGCACCCGACACAATTCAACGTAGAGCGGTCAGGGCGTCGGATTGATCAACTGATGATCCGGCACCTGCCGTTATCGCACGGTTGGGGCTACGTACGGCTCCAAAGAAACTCAACATACGTACGTACGCACGCACACTCAGCAATTCACTCCAGCGTACTAGTTCGCCCGGCCGGCCGGTCACCTCCTTATCTCTCGCTGGTTCACTTGACCTGCATGATTTTGGGCGAGCCCTGCCTGCCGAGCGTGCCGAGGATGAGTCCCCACGTCTTCGCCTTGGCGGCCTCAGCGATGGCGTCCTTCCTCGCCGCCCTCATGGCCCCGTGGTCATACTCCTCGCGCGTGAACATCTTGCTGTAGGGATCGTACCTGCGCAGTCACCATCGACACATGGCAGACAGGCAGACACGGGGTTAATCCACTGCCCTATCGCTCTTCCATTGCCACTACCATGGTTACTCTGCCAGTAAATGTCACTCGTTGATTCCTCGGCCCATGTTCGCTGCAGTTGTTCGGTCGAACAGACTGACTTTCACCTCCATCAATGCTGTGTTCAACCACCGCCATCACACTGCAGGTCACAACACAACACTCACTCACTCACTCGTTCCCTCACCCGCTCACCACACTGCAAAATCAAAAACTTGTTTTCTTTCCGCCTCTTCCCTTGCATCACTCCACTTTGGAATTCCATCCCATCGTCTCTAATTCGCGAGGTTCGCAGCGCGCTAACCACTACACCACCGCCATCGCACCTCCTTGCCATCGCGTTCCCCCCCGCCAACGCATTCCCCCCCGGCCTCCGCCCCCCCCTACCCTTACCCACTGCCAGATCCCAGAGCAGTCTCCACCACCAGCCGGCCTTAGGTCTCCTCTTCCCCAAGGTCGGCGGTGTTCGTGGAGATGCGATGACATCGGGCGCGTTCAGGGCAAATGGGTGGGAGGGCTAAGTTCTGGCCCATGGACCACACAAGGTCCCAGGGCTGACGTTCGCACGCTGCGTGAGCTACGATACAATTACAATACAATCTGGATTCATATATCGGGAGTCTAAATGTGCTCGCATCTCGGGACGCTGTGCACAAACAATGGGATACGTTTCGTTTAGGTAGAGAGTGCCGGTTTTAGGTGGAGACAAAAAAAAAAGTCTTGCACTTGGACCTGAGTCGACGGTTCTCTGCATTTGAGTAAATGGGTCTCTGTGCTCATTTAAAGGCCCACAACAGTGGATTCATGAAGCCGGAATGTCAATGCAATTATACGTCAAGACGCTGTACAGAAAGCAGGGGGCATTCATTTTATTCACAGCCGCAAGAGAAGGGAAAGGTGTGTAGCCTGGAATTGAAGAGGGGCAGGGAGCTGACAGCACAGATGGCTTGTGCAAGAGAGCAACAGACTATGAAAGCAGCGAACTGGGATTTCCTTTTTTACTTCAGTGTCATTTTTCAAACTTGGAAAACGTGGACCGCGACGACGGCAAGCAATGGCGCCACTCTTGTGAATTACGTCACGCGGGTCATTTAAAACAAATTCTAAAAAGAGCCCAGCAGTAGAGAGGAGCGAGCAATAAAAAGGGACCGGGGGGGGTTGGACAAAAATTGCGAGTGGCTGAAGCTCGAAACGCAGCGCTCACACGGGTCAGAGGTAAAGGGAGAGGGATGGGCTCGCCCACCCCGCTACCGTAGCGGGGGGGGGGGGGGGTCACGGGGTCATCAACGTCCACTGTTAAGCGAACAGCGCGTCGTATGTTTGACGGGTTAACCGCGGCGACCGCGGGACTCGAACCGTGAACCCACGGAGCAAAGCGGCGCTCCAAAGCGGCACAAACGAGTTCAAAGGTATCTTTTACGTTCGCAAGCCGGATTAAGCAAGTGGAGCGTTCTAAGGCAAATCGCTTGCTCCGCTCTCTGGAGGTTTGTCACGCACAGCTAGGCGCTAACCCCAAGCTCCGCGGACCTTGAATGCCAACTCAACACCTAACCTTAACGGGTTGACGCGACGGCAGTTTATCACTGGGCCCAGAGCTTATTTGCGACGGAGGCTAAGAAACCACCGGCTTGTGTGTGTACGTGCGCGACCACCAAAAAACATCGGCCGGGTAACTCGTTACGCTCGCCCATTACTCCGCAAGGGTCGAACATCTGAACCAAAGGTGACCTTCCAAGGTCAGAATTGACGATTCATTACAGCCTCAATACGTAACATCTGTGTGTGTGTGTGGGAGTGTTTATAGTGCAGTGGTTCGCGAACTGCGCAACTAACCCGGCGACCCGAGTTCGATTTCCGCTCACGGCCAACAGCAGTGACGAATATCTGAACTGATCCCGGGCCTCCCCGAGGTCTACTCAGCCTCAAATGAGTACCTGGTGCGGTGTGTAAACATCGCCACTGGGGAGACAAAGGCGGTCCGGCGTGGTGCTGGCCACGCACCCACTCGTGCGCCGTGCCGGCCTTCATAGGTGCTCGCTAAAAGCACTTGGCCCCAAGTCTGCTAAGGCTATACGGGGGACATTTGTCTTCATATATAGCACACTAAGCCAAGAACCCAGCGACCCGAATTTGATTCCTGCTCACGGAAAAACATCGGTGATGAATATTTGAGCTGGTCCTGGCCCTCCCCTAGGTCGACTCAGCCTCAAATGAGTATCTGGTGCAGTGTGTAAACATCGCCACGGGGAGACAAAGGCGGTCGGGCGTGGTTCTGGCCACGCATCTTGTGTGCTAAAATGCTCCAATGCAAGTAGTGGCATGTGTCTCTCAATGCGAGTTCATAGCTTTAAGTTTCATGATGGCATTTTTGTGTCAAATAATTTATGATGGAAATATAGCCTCTGACGACGTACCTGTCAACCCATACTGTTTACCCGCATTCTTGTACAGGGAAATTGAGTTCAGGCCCATACAGTGTACAGCAGTTTCAATAGGGGCAACAACAACAACATTGTCTATTTGTTTGAGTTTCTCCCTTGTGATCGGACTTTGTAGGATGAACGTTGAGATTTATAAGGGGCACGGGGAGACCAATAAGGTGTGAATTGGTCTGTAATAAGGTAGGGCACTGATAAGGGGTTGACAGGTATGTGACGATGATGACCACGATAATAAACTAGGTGTTTAATGATTCACCATCCTCACCCACCTCCAACCTGCTGTCACAATTTAATGAACTGCTTCAATTCAGGGTCACGATTCGATTCAATAATCGATTATTTACCTATCAAAAAGATTATCCAATGTCGCTGTGGCCTTAAAATGCTAGAATACATGTTATCATATATTTTGAGGCAGTGTTACGGACACATTTGTTGACCGTCTTTGTTATTATTTGTCCACCACTGCCACCACAGCAGCAGTAGGAGCAGCATCACCAAACAATTGACTTGCGTAACATTGGGGGTGAATGCTATAGCGCCTGTGGTGGCTGAAAGTCGCATTCACCGGTGGCAGTAAGTCCTCGTTTCACGCGGTAGTAGATGCACTCCCGAAGAGTGCAGCGTTAAATGAAAACCGCGTTCAGCGAAAACAATGTCACCCATGAGAAATGTAGTAACGATGACGTTTGGTAAGACACGATGCAGCAGCAGCACCACCACCACTACCGCACACCACGCAGTGACATGGCAGACAAATAACTGCCGCCGCGTTACCGTACCATTGCCCATACCGTATCACGCCGCTCAAAAAACTGCGTCATAACAGGCGGCGCGTTCCGCGTTATAGCGGTACGCGTTCCGCCTTGCGCGATGCGTTACCTGATGAAAGAACCGCGTTACAGCGAAAGCGCGTAATAGCATGCACAGCGCGTGGCAGGCGAAGGCCTTCAAAAAGAACCGATTCTTACGCACGTGATGCGTGTATCGTGAGCTCAACAGAGGGCCGCTAGGTTATCTTTAGATCTCCGCTCGCCACTAAAACGTTACGTTCAGATGTGTACAGTGCCCATGGCAGGCAGAATTGGGAGTGCGCATTGATCCATCGATTGATGTCTCCTGAGCTTACAATGCCACCGTTGATACCCACGGGTAAGAAATTATGGCCATTTCGTGCACGTATCTAATGTATTCGTGTGAACCTTGCAGTCAGTAGGGGCCGCTACATTCACCACAATGTAATGCTATTTTTGTTATCCAATCTGGAATCGAATCCTGATCCTGAGTTTGCAAAAAATATTTAATCAACGGATCACCGGCAGTGGGATGTGGGTGTGGGGCTTACAGAATCAACATACCTCGATTTATGTAATCTAACTAACAATAAACACAATTTAAAATGGATGCATGTTTTAGTGAATCGGACGCATTGTTCGATTGTCGTTGCCGGGTTTCTCCTTAAGTTTCACTTTTAACTCAACTAACGAGCGGCTTGATGTTTCGCAAACAGAAAATGCGAAATAATCAAACACGATTTCAACTGAAGATTTTATCACAATAATCATCATCGCCACCACCATCATCATCCATCACCCTCTCTGAGGCCATGGGGGCCTAATTAAGCGGTAACAACAAACAGGGTTTTTACCGCTCGCTCACTCGCTCGCTCGCTCTCTCTCTCTCGTTCGTTCACTCGTTCTCAAACACGCCTTGTGTACATCTGCCCGGACAGACCCTCGCGAGTCCGTGCACACAACTAGCGGACCCCCCCCCCCTCCCCATCCCAGCTCAATGCGCTGCGTATGCAAATCCAACGACGTAATTAGCCACACCGAGGCCCATCTCCCGGCGCGTGATCTATCGAAACGGTTACACCGCCGCATTCCTGCTGAAACACACAAATTGAAGCTGCGCGGCAGCAGCGGCGGCGGCGGCGGCGGCGCACGTGGGCACGTGGGCACGTGGGCAACGTGTGTGCGAGCCAGCGCCACGTCCCTCCGCCGACGGGAGCGTGCCAGGCCCGGCGGTTCAGGCCGGCCGCTGAAGTTGGTGCAACGACGGTGGGGGGGGGGCAATGCATCAAGTCCGCGTTGGTGCATTCCACGCCCCCCCCTTCCCCCCTCGAGGCAAACGCGCGATGCATCACGTTCGACCTTTATCGCCGTGGCAGGGGATTGTCCACGGTGGTGGGGGGGGGGGGGGGGTTGCTGGCGATGGTAGTTTGGGGGTATGGTGGGGAGACGTAGCGCAGCAGTTAGCGCGCTGTGAACCCGCCGACCCGAGTTCAATTGCAACTGGCGGCCAGCAGCAACGCCAGTGACGATTTATTCGAACTGGTCCTGGGCCTCTCCGAGGTCGGCTCAGCCACAAAATGAGTACTCTGCAAACATCGCCCAATGGGGAGACAAAGGCGGCCACGTGTGGTGTTGGCCACCCACCCCCCTTGGTGTGCCATTCCAGCCTTCATAACAGCACTTGCCGAAACAGTGTGTAAAGGCT